GGGGGTTTGGGGGGGGGCCAAAAAAAATCTTGCACCAGGGCCCTTTGTTCCTTAGCTCTGCCACTGGGAGGGAGAGAAGATTGTTAAATTGATCCATGTCCCTGGGTTCTGCTCTAGAACCTTCCAACTTTACTGTGTCTGGGGGCAGCAGAGTGCTTTATTGACCACTGCTGCAAAAAGTCACAGGGCCTTCCCTTTTTGGGCACACATCTTGTAGTATGTCGGATCATAGGCACAGAGGGAGTGATCCTGCATCCTATCCTAGCTCTTGGTCCAGTTACAGTTGTGGAGCAGGTCGCCGTGCCAATGCTCTGGGGTTTGGTATCGATGGCCTGGACAGTTTCACCCTGTTGGGGTCTCCCCTAACTCCCCCAGCTTTTACTTCTTCCTCTGCAATTTCTGGGCAGACATTTTCTGTAACTGTGTCAGACTTCATGGCGAGTGGGGGCTACCAGAAATTGTAGTCTAAATAAAAGTGGGAAGGGTTACAGAGAATATGTAGATGGGAAAGTGGTAAGTGCTTTAGAATGCGGGGATGGGGAAGCACATAATAGAAACTGTAATGTAGACAGGAAAGGGATACCACACAATATAATGTGGACAGTAGGTGGAGAGGTGCCAGACGCTATAAGGGAAAAGATGGGCATTTAACAGTGTGGATACGCAGGGGGGATGCAAAAGAAAGCAGTTCAGACTGTAAAGGCACACCTTTTAGAGAAGCTAGTGCAGACACCGGGGGATAGTGTCTTGGACACTACTGGGGGAATAATATACATTGGGAATATAGATGCTGATAATGTCTCCAGGCTCTGTGGGTTCCACAATGTGTACTGTCTTGGTCGGTTGGTCGGTCAGGGCTGTAAATCATCTTTAGTAAACAGTTGGCAGTGGATGATTACTCAAATCTGCTCTATGCGGTGTATATGTGTGTGTATTTAATATATATAGGAGCAACGCTTGACCAACTAAATTTAGGCCAGAGGGTATTGCATGATGCTGCAAAATGCTGTGGTAGGCCCTTTAAATCAGGGTGCCAGTCATTCTGTGAAAGTCACCAAATCTGGATTAAGCTAAATGGTACCAATTAATCTCACTTGTTCCTCCATGTTTGACAATTGTTACATGCTGATAGACAATCCATTCAGCATACAAAAGCCCAGTGCAATATACCAGATGTTTCAAACTTTGATTCATTGATCCATAACACGGTGTTTAGCGAGTCCACTGGTGGTAGTTTCTGGCCCAGACAAGCCTCTTTTTCTCACTGCCATTTTAGCAATAATTTTCTTACTGCCACTTGACCTAAAAGAAAATGGTGGTCTAAAATTTTGGATCAGTAGCATGTATGTACGTAAGTCTGTGTGTATATGTGTACATTAATATTAAGAGGGTTAGAGCAGTATGGTTAAATGTATATCAAGGATATATAACCAGTATCCCAAAGAAATTAGTGAACAATATTTTTTTTTTTTAAAAGGCTAAGTAAAAAAAAGTAAAGCCAATCCTTTTTTGGGCTATACTTTTCTTTTGGGTCACAGGAGTATATTTACTAAGTCGGCAAGAGCAGGATTATTCCCGCTATCAACTAACAGGTCACATATATATAATTAGAGGTGCACCAAAATGGAAATATTAAAATCGAAACGAAACCGACATAAAAATGTTTTTTATTTTTTACATTACTTTTAGGTACTTTTGAGTACATTATTTGTTTACTATAACCACAATCATGAATGAAAATGAAGAGATGTAGATCACTCCCATTCGTTCATAATTGAGGATATAGTTAACATATGTGCCAATGTTTACATTTTGCAAAGGCACATGAGAGAAAATTGCAGAGATTTGGTCTTTTCCCTGGAACTGTATTGTTAGTGTCTTCCTGTCTTCCTTTTTCCTAAGATTTTTCCATCACTTGGTCTGTGGGAGCTGATAGTTATCCGAGGTGCAGCATTATTTTATCCAGAAGGTTAGCATGTCTGAAAGCAGTATGCATTTCAGCCTAGGATTTTGGCATTAGGATGCGGCTTTTCAAAGAGGCTTGTGAAAAAGCTCGGGAACGCAGGTGTGATAATGGGAAGTGCTCATTGCAGCCTTCGAAGTTATAAAATGCATGCAGGGCAAACAAGCAAAAGTGCTGCTCAATGTTTGGCTTAATTAATGGGTTAATTTTTGACTGCAGATGTTGTAGGTCAGGATCAATGAGCATCTATCTTACCTAGCTGCCTGTGAGCACTCGGCATACATATTTCATTTAATACATATAAAAAAAAAACTGGTTGCTATAAGAAACTGTATTCTGCTAATTCTATTCATTTAAAATTATATTAATCTTAGCTTTCCAATTCTAGAGATGTTTAATTATGCTAAGGGACCGTGTCATACATATCTTTTACAACCATGACATATGACACCAGTGCATCACCATGAAATAGTCACTTCATGCCAAGAATAGCAAGATTATGTTAGCATATTATCTCATATGATGAAATGCAATGTTGAAACTTGGTTTCCTGAAAATCGGAGGTCATGCTTTATTTTTCTCAAAAGTTCTTAACGACTGCCTTTATGTTCACAACATTATTTTCTGGAACTTAAAGAGCTTAATGAACTTAACCCCTTCATGACTGAGCTTGTTTTTAGTTTCTGTTCGTAAATGACTGACACACTTTTGACATTTTTGCTATCCTCCTAGGAAGCGCGCCCTGCCTTTTGCCGTCCCCTGCCTTGTCAGGGGATTCCGAAGAGGAGGGGGAACTGCCCGCGCCATCACCTCATCCTGGTCCGGGTGATTCCTCACATCCTGATTCTGCCAGTGAGGATGAGGCTGCGTCTACGCTCCTGGTCCAGGAACGTGAGACGGTTTCAGCACTGGTCCGCGCTGTCAGGGAGTCCCTAAAAATTGAGGATGTTGCCAGCACTTCCACGCTGAAAAGGTTTTCTGATTGTTGCAACAATGATCAGCAAACTGAAACATTCTTCTTTCAGGAATAGATACACTATAGGAATAGACACATTATGTATCTATTCATGAAAGTATAGCCAGTAAGCCAGTATAGCTTGAGAGAGATATCTCTCTCGATCTATACGAGCTGTCAGAATGCCAGCAAAAGCCGGCATGTGTGTCCCTCTGCTTTGACTCTCAGACACCCGATATTAAGGTATCGGGTGTCTGAAAAAGGTTAACCCTTTCATTAATGAATGCCTCTGTAGTAAGGGCATCCATTAATGAATGTTAAAAACTGATTCTCAGCTGTTAACAGCCCTCTAAAGCAGCAAATAACTCGTCACGTACAGTGTACGTGACAAGTCATTTGGTCTCTTTGTGGCTGGACGTACAGTGTAGTCTCCCGTCACAAAGGGGTTAAAGATCTTAATAAACTTAACCTGCAAAAAAAGCCTGGCATCTGCTAAGCTTATTTCATGCTTATACCATTTTTCTTTAACTTGGTACTGGTATTTTACTGTAGATTTTTTGTATGAGCATCTGAGAGTAAAATTCCAATCCCATGCCACACAGCTGCACATAATTGTTCTTGGTCAAGCAGTGGGAAAGGCTGGGAACCTAGCCTAAAGCTGGCCATACACCTGTAGACTTTCAATTGGAAATTTTGGTTGCTACCAAGAACCCTCTTTAATTTCTAGCTCAGATAACCCATCAAGCACAGACCAATGTAGATTTCGATAATCCATTACCAATACTAATGCATGGAATTTTGTCGATAGACAGTACAGATTTTCGTTTGCGCATGTGCAGTGTTCTTGTTGTGATTGATTTAGTTGGGTTTCCATTAACTGATCGATTATCGTGTGAAAGACTGTTCGTGGACGAAAATCGATAGGCATATGGGTACCTTTACACTGCCAGCAGCACTTGCATGGTAGTTTCAGTCCATCTCTCTTTTATATAAGAGATATGGGGACCTGCATAATGGAAGGTTTTGCTACAGGTTTCAAAATCGTCCTACATGATAACGTGTTCCTCACTATTGGCATCTAGAAACAGCCTGATAATCACAAGATATACTGGCAATTTGGAGTTTTGCTTCCGTTTATTGTGCCATCTGTGGCCATCTATAGATGTTTATTTTTTATAGGATTGCTTGATGATCATCTAATGTGTATGGGAACCTTTATATATTCTGTGACGAGCACGCATTTGTATAATCTG